TGCCTTATCAAAGGGGGACATGGTGGCACGTGTTATTCGCAAGCGTGTTTTCTTTCCTGCATCGTTCACTGGCGGCCCCTGTTTATGTATTGCCATTATCAGGATGCGCTTTCGATATGTAGAGTTTATGGCAACCCGCAGTATTTTATCACATTCACGTGTAATGTCAAGTGGCCAAAGATTACCCGGTATATGGATACACATTCACAGAGGGATGTACACAACAGAGCAAATATCATAGCCATAATCTTCCATGTCAAAGTCCATGAATTTATAGATTTCCTTAAGGAGGACAAAACCTTTGGCGATGTTGATGCATGTACGTTTACATTTCCTTTGTTATATGTACAAACCTAATAATCCTTTATATCAAATGTTGTTCACACTCTACAAAACTCAAAATCACCTAAAAGTATACAAGCTTATGTCCTTTTCATGTCAGTTCCTCATTTGTCCTCCTATCCAATATGTTGACTCGGGAAATTAATATCCTCCTTATTCTTAAGTCATTTAGTAAATTTGTATTATTTCTGAATTTGCCCCTATGTTATCTGTTTTATTTTATATGCACTGTTAGAACTTATTTAACCACATCAGATATGTAATTTATTTTTCTATTTTACCCCTACTATGTAAACTAATATTGCAGATTATTATCCTAAGACTAACATCCTATTTGTTATTTCCTGATTTGCCCCTGTATCAAATTCGTTAATTATACATTCTTATTATTAACTTATTTACTAAATTTGTGCGATTTCCTGATTCGCCCCTATTTTAACTGTTGTATTGTATACACATTTAAAGAACTAATTTAATGAAATCAAATATATTACATATTTTCTGTCATTTTCATGACACCAAATTTAATATACTCTCCCCTATTCAATACTCTGATTTGAAAAATTAATATCCTCCCTATTATTTACTCATTTACTAAATTTTAATTATTTGTTGATTTTCCCCACTGTTTACTTTTATCATTTGCATATGCTAATGTTATTTTGCTTACTTTTGTATAAAAATTGTAATTGTTAACTGTTTTATTCTATATACACTATAACAACTAAGTTATTTAAACCTAATATCATACTTATTTCCTATTTTACCCCTGTTATGTAGATTGATTTTTTAGGTAGTTATCCAAAAGGTATCATCCTCTTTTTAAATAACTTATAAACTAAGTTTTTATTCTTTCCTGTTTTGCCCCTCTGATCGATATTGAAGTCTCTAAATTTTACCCGCCTTTTTATCATTATGTTTTCTAACATTTACTTTTACTATTGTATTTTTCATTCTGCTAATACTTTGGATTCTTTATATACGATATCTACGGAACGAAATGCTGAGTTAAGCACATATCTTATTTGCTTTCATATTTCTTATTTCATCCTTTTTTTTTAAACATTATGGTTTATCTTAGTTTTTTCCTATTTTACCCCTGTTATATAGACTGACTTTCCAGGTAGTTATCCAAAAGGTAACATCTTCTTTTTAAATAACTTCTATACTAAATTTTTATTATTTCCTGTTTTGCCCCTCTGATAAATATTCAAGTATCTAAATTTTACCCGACTTTTTATCATTATGTTTTGCTATCATTTACTTTTATCATTGTATTCTTCATTCTACTAATACTTTAGATTCTTTATATACAATATGTACGCATCGAAATGCCTATTTAATCTTACTTCTGTTGATATTAAAATCATTGTGATTCCCTATTTTATCCCTGTTACGTACACCGATTTTACAGGCTCTTATCCAAAAATTAATATCCTGTCGCCCCTGCATTCAATATTTACCTATCTACAGTTTCCTCATTTCATTAAGTAAATATCTAAATTTCTTTTCTATTTTTTATTTTACCCATTCTTTTATCATTATGTTTTCCATCGTCTTCTTTTCTCACTATGTTTTCTATCAACGTATTACTATGGAATCTGTATCGATAGATACAGTAACAAAAAGTATGTACAACCCTTTCGTTTCATTCAGGTTAATGTTATTTTTTTAATTTTTAAACGTTAGCTATTTTACTGGTCTGGTATGATGACATAAACATACTACTTTCTTTTTTCTTTACGACTTTACCCCTCTCATTCATCTCATTCTTTTTACCTTTTTGTACTGATGGAAGATATCTTTTTCCTTATCATTCACTTTTACCTTATTTTCATCTCTTAATATATTTCCCTATCATATCTGACTATCTTATATCCTAACTCCTGCCATTTGATTGCATGAATATATTTATTCATTTGTTTTTTAGTATTTAATTAGTTGTATGTAAAATGACATTCCAGTTCTTCTTTTAAGTTTCATAGATATCTAAACGGACTTTTATTATTCATGCCTTTCTAAGCAGTCTTATGTCATTCTTATATTCGCAAACAATAACATCAGACAAATTGGTCATCAATGCAGATTTATATATTATCGAATTCCAGAATAGAGGTCTACCTCATTGTCATACTTTGCTGTGGGTAAAGAGTGCTGACCGAATCAAAAAAGCATCTGATGTCGACATGTACATAACAGCTGAGCTGCCAGATCCAACAACAGATCCAAATCTGCATAAGACAATCACAAGTTGTATGATTCATGGGCCATGTGGACCACTAAATCCAAAAGCTCCGTGTATGAAGGACGGTAAATTTAGTAAACATTATCCTAAACCATTTCTTCATGCTACATTATTTGATACGGAAGGATACATTCAGTATAAACGAAACCCAAATTCACACCATAGCACCCAATACGGACAGATTATAGATAACGCATATGTTGTTCCCTACAACAGTAGACTTTCCTCACGATTTCAGGCACACATCAATGTTGAGTACTGCAGATGGAATATGATGATTAAATACCTCATCAAATATATTTCCAAAGGAGCAGACCGCGTAAGATATGCAATCCAAAAGGTAGAATTGTCCAACGCGTCCACTTCTGTCGCAGAAGATAGCCATGATAACAGGTATGGGGGTCCAGTTGTTACTCCTGTCAACGAGGTGCAGAATTTTCTAGATGGTCGCTATATTTGTCCCCACGAGGTAGCATGGTGTATCTTAAGCTTCCACATACATCATCGGTACCCACCTGTTCAGACTCTATCCGTACATGAGGAGAACATGCAACAGTTACTATTCAAGGAGGACACAACAATACCTCAAGTGTTGTCAAACCCATTCAACTGTGTTACGACACTTCTTGGCTGGTTTCGCAACAACAGAAGGGATCCAAGTGGACATCACCTTACATATCTAGAATATCCAAAGTCTTACAAATGGGACAAATCATCTAAATCCTAGGATCGTAGGGTTGACGACTCCTCAAAAGTACTCGGTTGACTTGTGTTTGTTCATCCAACTTCCGGCGACTTATTTTACCTGCGAATGCTGTCGTGTCACTAAAAGGGTTGCACATCCTTTGAAGACTTGCGCACCGTTTCTGGCACAATTTATCCTACCTATAGGGCAGCCTGCAATGCATTAAAATTGATTGGTGATGATACGAAATGGTTATTTGCATTCACAGAGGCATCCATATGGGCGACCTCATCGTAACTTCGCTCACTTTTCTGCCAGCTATTGCTTTTCTGAGAAGTTAGCGATCCACAATTTCTTTGGGAATGCGCATGTGATAAGATGGAAGATGACTACCTATATGCCCTAAAAAGAGAAATGCCAGATAAGGGATTGAATTATGTTGCGGACATAGTCCATCAACAACTGCTCAGCGATCTCGATCACACCCTACGCTCTTCCATACCATCTAAGTCAATGGCGGCATTCGGTCTTCCGATTCCTTCAAATGATATACACGGTATTTTGCAAAATCGTCTTCTGCTTGAAGAAATGAGTTACGGAAAAGAAGCTCTACAAAGAGAACATGATAATATGCTGCCAAAGCTAAATACCGACCAGCTGTCGGTTTACAAGTCAGTCATCTCTTCAATTGAAAACGATAAACAGATATTGTTCTTCGTTTATGGACACGGGGTACTGGAAAAACTTTCCTTTGGACAACTATTATCTCCTATTTTAGATCCAAAGGAAAATTTGTGCTGGCCGTTGCCGCTTCTGGAATTGCATCCCTTTTATTACCTTCTGGGACAATAGCACATTGAAGGTTCAAAATACTTATCGACCTCACGGAGAAGAAATCATGTTACATAAAAAAGAGAACATCCCTAGGCGATCATTTACAGCGTACATCCCTCATCATTTGGGATGAGGCACCAATGAGTAACAGAAGGTGCTTTGAGTTTCTGGACCGCTCTCTTAGAGATTTCTTAGATTGTAATGAAAAGTTATTTGGAGCCATATATGTTTAACTAGGTGGTGATTTCCGACAAACCCTTCCAGTCCTACCAAGATCAATGCGTTCAGAAATCATTGCCTTAACTCTTCCATGTTCGTACCTCTGGCGATCTTTCACCATTCACGTCCTACACACGAACATGAGAGTTAATTCTTCTGAAAGACCCACCAGTAGTTCAATGTCCACATCGACTTTCACAAGTTGGTTGCTTCGTATTGGAAATGGACAAATGGGCATGCCTGATGATGATGACCCTCGGGACACAAGTTGGTTGGAAATCCCTAACTCCCTTCTAATAGAACCCGAGAGTGACTCCCTAAAGTCATTAATAGATTTTGTTTATGGAGATGGTGTGCTTAATAATCCGACTGCGATTGACCTTTTAGTAAGAGCTATAGTGTCCCAGTTGATGCATATACTTTTTAAACAATATTTATAATTTTATTAATTATCCGGCCGGGAGTGACTCCCTAAAGTCATTAATAGATTTTTTCGAACATTCTTATACCATTCATAAAACATTATCTAAACAATATTTATAATTTTATTATATATGTCTTTGATTATATTTATTTTTACATTTGTACAATATGTTTACAACTTATCCTACATTTATATCTGAATATGGAACTCATTCTCATATGTTTATTCGACATAGAAAATACACCCGACCAATGAGCAACATTTCTGAGCTAAAGACCGATGGTATTGGAGGCCCTTTACAAGTTAGAATACTACGTAAATGGAAGCACGGCGTAAGGCGCTATGAAACCTGGTATCTAGCTGTTGACAGATTTGTAAGTCATCTTCAAATACAATTTTGTAACAACTATGTATCAATTTCTACATTAAACATACCGTTAAAATAACACATACGAAGCCTTACATTATATGATTTTCTTTCGTTAACAGGGGGATGCCATACAAATTCTTGGTCAACGAACTAACCGGAGCTACATCGAATTTGTTTTCAACCTTTCGCAGTGCTACACCATATCGGATTATAGCTGCCCAATGTTAGACAAGTATCAAAAATTCCTACAAAATGCCTTCTATATTGATGTTGGCCTTATGTCTATGATAGAACAGATTCTGGACACACTGACAATACCGAAAAACTGGTTTCATTTTGTCTCAAAGACGCAACTCATAGAACTTGGGGACACACCATCTTATTACCCAGGTACATACATCTTTTCCCACCTGATCCAATGCACACCTCTAACACAATTAAATTTAGTTTTCTTTAGACTACATTGGTGTCCTCTTAAAGATCAGAGACTGCATCAAAGTGGGTGGTGAGTCATACGTGTTGCTGATTCTAACCGATGAAAGGTACGTATTGCATGTAACAAAAATTATTTCGGACTTCGTTTCTACCAACCTAATATAAAACACATTATCAATACCATTAGTGGTAGAAAACTCGCGATCAATTTATGGAAAGAGTGCATAACCAATCCACAAAAATTCGACCGCAACTCCTTGCAGCCACCGCCAGCAACAACAGTTGTCGCTGTGACGAACTTAAAACCTTCCATATCCAACGGTATGATTTTCATACACAAACTAATGACAACTATCATGTATTAACCACAAAAATTTCTAACATGTGAATTATTTATATATAGGGGCTCTACGTTACGGTTCATCACATGCTACATATGTCTACGTCAACCCAGACATACCAGAAACAACATCACTTATAAACCTGTAAGCCACATATACAAACATTAGACATCATGTCCAATAAAGTAAAGACTGTATACTAATAACAACATGTTGTCAGATATACAGGTCCCTCAAGTCCAATGCCACCACTAGCAGGAACACCGTCTACCCTACATGACATGAGAAAGAAAACCAGATTTGAGTTGCTGGTAACATTTCTTCATTGCTAACTCTTTTCATAAACAACAATAATTTCATACATTGATATGAAATAACTTTACTATGATAGGATAAGACATTTCTGGTGCGTGCATCAATCAAAGACATTGTCTTTCAAAATAGTTGGTACCAGACAACGTGCCCAATCTGCAAAGACCCCATCTTCAGAAAGGGCGAAAAATAGTTCTGTAGTGCACATGGACATATTGACAAACCAAACTACACGTAATCGTCTTTAACAAAAATTTAACACATATACTGATTATACGTCCGCAATGCTGACAAATATCCGCTATTCACAAATACAGATTCTCTGTTATCATCACTGATGCAACGGACATCATACAAGTAGCCATATCGGAAACATCGTGTCGCAAACTTCTCAGGTCACGTCTCGACAAATTCATATCCGACAACCCACTGACGAATGGAAATGTCCTGCCCGTAAACATAACCAACGAGAGAGGAAATACAAAAACAATGTCTATCCAAATGCTTAAGGCTTCAACTCTAGAAAACATACGGTTCATAATAATTGACCACGACAAACTAGTAACAATGTTCGACACATCAATTCCAACAACACCAACTCCAACCAGAATGACAAGGGCACGACAAAACGACACATCACCAGAATCATCTGCAGCCAATCAAAACGTTGTACGTCCTCTATCCTATGACCTTACAGGTATATAAATGCTGCCATACATGGAATTAAAATATGAAACAAAATTTTCCAAATGCAGACTATTAATAGTAACTCAACATCTGGCAGGTGCTACCCCAACAGACAGTCAAAAGCAGATGAAGAAATAAAAGATATGACACTAAATTAAATAACAAACTTTATATTGTCTAAGTTAATATCACCATCTTTTGGTAATGTAAGAATACCAATATCACCCATACGTACGAAAACTCAGACTAAGTTGTTATGCACTTTTTTTTGTATACTGCCTATTCCTCTACATCCTACAAATCACATTACTAAAAAGACAACATTAAAAAAATGTCATCCATCATATATAACATATGCCTACGTAACTAATATCTACAAGCTGAAGTTACGTTCTTCAACAAAAATTATGATTCTAATAATCTAAATAAAAAACCACAACATTAGATATAAACAAAGTAAGTGAAATTCCATTACATAATGATAAATTTTTATTTAAATGACTATGTCCAATACGTTCTTTAAAAAAAAAACCGGCAGAATTAATTTTAAATACAAACACAGCAAATTAACATGAGAATGTCAAAAAGAATATATTGTTTATTTCCAACTGGCTACTACTACTGCCATCAGTATCAAACAGGGACTTTCCATATGGATTGACATCTAACCACCCACATTAGATGCAAACTTAAATACTGAACCCAACCCCAACATTTACATCAGCCAAAAAAGGCAAAAAAAACAATCAACACCTCTTACCGGCCACCCTATATGCATCACTTCCCAGGAGAACTTTAAATAACCCACACTTATTGCTAGACAACCACAACATTCAACCCCTATAGAAGGACATCCCCAAATAAACAACCCTACCACTAAACATCACAAAAAAACCATGAATACTATCATGCTGAAGATTACCGAACACCTCCACACAATGAAGACCTCCTTAGGCCATGTTCAAGAAACATTCACAGTAACTAACAACCAAATGCAGACGCTCCTACAAGACGCCCCAGAGGAGCTACCGTACAAACAGTTGACAATCACCAACCAGGTTATTACCGACATCGACAAGGACACCATGCTCATGCTTGACATCTTCGACATGTTGCAGGAAAACATCACAGCAACCATCAAAATATGCAATAAGATCATCCAAGACCATCCAACACCATGACGAACGCAGGATCAACCACTTCTACAACAACAACCGCTTTTTGCATGTGCTTCTGTAATGAAAGATTATTAACTACTTCTTACAACATCCACTACTTTTGTACGCATCTATGTAATGAAGCACTATGTAACCACCATATAATGAATGAATATGTTTTTATTCATATCCTATCATAAAATCCATAGGTAATACAGTGAAATAATCCAACCACAAACAACATTCCCCTTAACTCAAAACGGTAAACATACGTACACCATCTAACCCCTGTGTAGCAGGGGACTTGCACCTAGTTATATATTGAAATTCTCTCATGTTAGCTACAGCGAAATAACTGTCTTTTTGGCAGAAATAGTCCTTTTATGGGGGCATGGTTTCTTTTGGTATTTGTTTCCCGATTTTGTGTTCTGGGGTAGTTTATGCCATTTGAATGATTTTTGATGCTACTTGTTTTTCGCCTGTTCTCCTCACCGCTTTTCCACCCAATCAGTTTTCGATTGCTGACATTTTTTTCAATATTTATTTCGACGAATTTGCTTTTCTTGCTCTGTTTCGATCTATTGTTACGCTCATTTTCTTCCTTCTCTTCTCTGTTTCCTATTCTAATTGCGGGTGAGAATTTTCCACTATCTTTTCCTGAACCCTAGATGCATGTTGATGTTTCTACTCTAAATTGATGGTGCAGGTTCACGATTAATGTGGTTGTTGGGCTCGGTGGTGTCACTATCATTAGCTCCAGCATCCTCTACCTTCTGCTTCTTCATTTTATACCTTCTTGATCGTCGGTGTCAGGTCTGATTTTTGCCTCTTCGATAATACTCTTACTGAAAAATCCTTCGTTCGCCTTCCAACTGAATTTCCCTCTTCACTTATTGTTGATATTCTTTAAGATTGTGTTTGGGTTTCTTCTCCATGCCTATAGGTAGCAAGCATAGTGTGTTTGAATATGGAGAATCGTCACCTGGGAGTGTTGCACCTAAATCAGGGAAGCCTCGCCGACGGTACATATATTATCCTTCTCCACAGTTACCTTCGTATCCTCCTGATCAAAACGATCTGAGTCAGTGACATTCCCCACTTCTTCTGGGTCTTCACTTCGTTGTCTCTTCTTTTTCACCCTGCTTCTTCTGGCCAGACCTACCGATTCATCGATCTTCGACATCAGACGAACCCGTCCCCACCTCCAATTGCTTCACTTTTCTGTACCGACATCGACTTAGGTGTAGAGAAAGACCGAAAACCGGAGTCATTTGACGATGTGATGTATCACTCCGCCATCGCTTACGTGTGTTTCTTGTGCGACAAATGCAGAAGCGACAGCTAGGTGAGCAAGGCGAAGGGTTGGGTGGATCCTTGACTTAGACGACAGCTGAATCACTCACATACACACATATATGTGTTACATCGAAATCCACCACTGTCGCTTCGTAACCCATGACCATCATCACATCAGGTTTAATTTTGGATTGATTAAAGTCCAAAATCCCCACTTTCGAACTTCTGCTTCAAATCTTACAGTCTAATAATCCATGTTTCGTTCCATTTTACTATTAGGGCTAATAAATTTCTCCATGTGAAATCGACAAATACATATCAATTGAGAGGCGTATATTGATAGTAGAATAAGGGAAAGAGGATGAAAGCAGTAGCTCCACCTTGTGCTCCCAATACCTACCTCCTTGATTATTTGTTCCATGTGAGTGTCATCTTTCAATTTGAATCCATCTCTTGGCCAATTATTGTTTCTATTTGATCCGTAGTCTTTTTGTTTTTGTTTTCAGTTTTGTGGCTGTTAATCAGTTCTAATTGTTATGGATGCATATTTTCGCTTCATCTGATTCGTGAATCGTGATGTAGTTTTGGTTGATGGTTCTATAACGGAGTATAATTTCTATACTTTACTGAGCTTCTATTGATGAAATTTTTTTATTAATGGGTTTCTATGTGACAAACAGACTTGTAATGTACTGATCTATGCTTTATTACATTGAAAACGTGATTATTATTCGACTACTTTTGAATCATGAAGCATATTGTGTTGTGGCTGCTGAATCTGCTGGCCCACAAGTACCCATGGCTTTTCTTGAGCGAACTAAGGATGACTTTAACAAGAAATATGGTGGTGGGAAAGCTACTACAATTGTTCCCAATAGTGTTAACACGAAGTGGAAGGGATGGGTAAGGAAAATGGGATGAAATAGAAACGTCACTGGTATCTCATATCCTTTCTCGCAAAATAGTTCCCCAAGTAAAATAAGAAGTCTATTAACATGTTACTAATCAGAAGATATATTCTGTTTTATCAAGTCTTGATTTCTGCAAAAGAAGAACCAGATGCTTCAGTTCCTCCTGTAGTGGATGGTTTACTGAAAATCCATAAATGGGTAAGGGATGTGGATGTTGATCGTACTCATCCGCCAGCTGGAGATACAATCAGCAGAAGCCTACCTGTGGCTGCCACACAAGCGGGGAAGTTGATAGGAAAGCAAGGCGCCACCATAAAAACCATCCAAGATTCTTCCGGTTGTGTAATTCGAGTGCTCGAACAAGGTTTTGCTGAAAAATATATTATAATATTCTTAAAATAAATGGTTGATTACAATTTATAACTGTGTTTTTTGGATGCAGAAAACCTCCCTGTAATTGCTTTGTCTGATGATAGTGTTGTGGAGGTGCAAGGGGAACGTGAAGGTGTACACAAGGTGGTTGAACTAATTGCTTCACATTTAAGAATGTTATAAGTTGACCGCAATGTTATTGATATATTTGAAAAACAAGTAAGTTAAGTTTTTCATTTTTATTATATTTTGATTAAAAATAATAATAATAATAATAATCTGATTTATGTTTATAGATGCAAATGCCATGAGAATCCATAAATGATGACTCACTCCAATTTAGTTCTTTTCACAATTTCTTTATCTTTGATACTTGTGTATAGTTTTGTGGTCACTCCAATTTAACTTGATGTGTCAAAAAAAGTTGCAATTTAATGTATGGTGTTTGTATTTCATTATATTTCAGTTATTTAAATTCAGTGTTCATTGGCATATTTGATTTCTTTCTTTAAATGTTTAATTTCATTATTTTATATCATAGTTGTTAGGCCAAATCCAATGAGCTAGGGCAAGTCAATTGACGAGAATAAGTTATCCCAAAACTTCATAATTATTGTAGTTTCTTTATATGTATGTGGTCGTGTATGGTTTTCTGACTTATTGGATTTCTATTAGTGTATGAAGTCCTTATAAGAAAACTTGGAAAATGTTATGTACCTACCTAATGAAGGTAGTTCATATTGTGTCACATTATGCTTTTTAAGTTTTTTGTTGTCTATATTTTGTCATTCATTGCATTTCTCTATTACATTTATGATTATTTGATTATTTATATAAGGTCCGATAATATTGTAGTATCTACAAAAGGTATAGTGAAAATTAAATAGACCATTGGTTTACTCTCCATTTTATTCGTTTCTTTATTAATGACACATTTAGTTTATAGAATATAAATTTTATTTTTATGATCTTACTTATTATTCGAATATACATGAATTATTGGTTTGGCACAAACTTATAGTTTTTTGGTTTGCAACTCATCTAGGGAGCTGGAATTCAAATGAATACATCTGACATAGCTTTATGAAAGTCAGAATGCTGAGGTAAATGGAATAAAAAACTGGAGATTTTTCCGTTCCAAATTGTATATATTTTCAAAGTATAATGTGGTTATTGGAAAAAATTGGAAGTCTATTGTTTTTCCTTGCATTCAACCCACATTGTTTCTTTGTAATTTTCTGAAATGTATTTCTCTTTCTTTTGCTTCTAATTATTCTCTTTTAATGTAATATGAACGTAGGATTTTACCACTTGATATCTCTGGAATTAGACGGATAATCACCATGCACCAAATTTGTAGGTTATTCTATTATCATTTTATGTATCAAAAAGTAAATATTTGTTTATTCACTACTTGGATTTGGAGTGTAACAGTTGCACAAAAAAAAGTGATGAACATGATCTGTTTTACAATCAACCGATAGTTTCCAACCCCCGCAACACGTTCAATCTAGATCTCCCACATGTAGGACCAAAAAAAGTTCACAAATTCAGACCCCGCGAAGCGGGTCACCCATCTAGTTATTATTATTATTATTATTATTATTATTATTATTGATTTACTTTTTTACATCTATACAAAGCAATTTATTTAATTAATTTATTTGTCGAATCTACTAAATAAATCTTTAATCATATAATTGTTCGGTTTATTTATTAACACTAGTTCGAAATCATTAAATGGAAATGGGCAATACAACTCTCACGCAACTCCTTTAATGAATCAACAAAAAAATTTCTCTAGATATACACATACTCCATCATACAGTGACCCGAATATCCAAAAACATTTTGACCAGGAGACTCAACAAATATGTGAATCCGGAGATGCTACCAAAAGGGCTTCTAAAGCATATTTGAATTCTTGACAAGTCATCTCTATGCCACTAATTCCAAACATATTGTAGTAAGTGAACCATAATCTCAAGTCATATCTAAACTTTTATTCTGTATTAGGTTTAAGTCTTTACAAATAGATGATCAACATGCACCATCTTGAGCCTTGTGGCTCGTAATTTCTAAAACTAGTATTCCATTATTGATAGTCGGACTCAAATGGAAACTTATGACCTAAAATCATGACTTTTAACTTGTTATTATCCACTGATTCAACATGTTTCATACACTTATGAACTCTACATCATCATACGGATTTACCCAAAATAGTATATCATGGTCGATGTAACATCCCCAAATTCATGGTTATTTAAAAGATTTCATTTATGCTCATTTGAAAATTAGAATATTCATTTTGAAGATTAGTACTGCGGAATTTGTTACCAGAAATATGATAATTATATTATCAAGGTATTTATGAAGAAATTTATTTTGTTTATATTAAAACTTCGGGATGACATCGTTAATAATGAAACGTAAGCATAAACAGACCTTACACTCATTTACACTAGTGATTTACATCTCCTTTAATCTCTCAGTGTAATGTACCTTCGTATCGATACTTGTCATACAAATAAACTGAGTATGTCAGCTTGGGAAACCTCATCAGTATATAGGGTTTTCAACCCACAATAATATAGTTATTATGTATAATCATCAAACAATCAACCCAATTACCCCTCCTCATTATCTTGTTTATTCTTAAGGATCTATCCTAAGAATCAGTTATGCTTCATTTATACATTCCTAAGGATCTTCCTAAGGAATAGGCATTGAGTCCACCGCTCCTAGGATTTATCTAACAGGTACTAAGACCATACCTATCGATGTTATCTATTAGACACTAAGTCCATAGCTGCCAATGTTATCTCCTAAGAACTAAGTCTATAGCTGTCAATATTCTTCTATAGGGAACTAAATCTATAGTTGTCAATGTTCATTGGTAAGGCACTAAGTCCATAGCTGTCAATGTTCATATATATCATCTTTCTTCTCTCATCATTCATCTACCCATCTTTACCGGATACCTTTATAGGTATAAAATACACATATAGTTTATTTCAAATAAAACATGTATATTCGGTTCATCCAACATTGATATGAAGAACACAGATAATATGCACACATAGAACATAATTTATATTAAATACTTCATATCTATATGTAAGATGAAAGTAACTGCACCCACTTGTTGAAGTGGTGATTCCAACATGGACAACGCTTCACTTCTTAACGATATAATTTCCTTCGACAAAACCTATTATTATTACCACTAGATTTTAATCTAATATTTATCGCGACTATTTATGAGTGTTACTATTTTATAAATGTTAAACAATACTTTAAAGCCACTATATACAGACAGGGGCCTGACATGAAACACCGGAGGGCAGGACTATTTTGGCATTATAACACTTATAAAATCCAACAACCTTATGTGTGCCTTCAAACTAGATTCCTCGTACTGCGAGTAGTTTAATGATATTATACTAACAATTTATATTATATATATATATATATATATATATATATATATATATATATATATATATTGTTTATAAGTCCATAATAACTATAATAAATTTAAACTAAGCTATACTTAAAGTAGGGTAAGCATAATTCACTTACCGGGAGGTTTGCTAGAAATCGGGCTCTGTGGGGGTAGTACTTTGCGAGCCGAAAAGATTTTTTTTTCGGAGCCTTCTGGCGCTCGGCGTACTTTCCTCTAGCACTTAGAATATACTAGAGGTTGGGAGGCTTTTGAGAGAGGTTAGAGAGAGGAGAGAATGGGTAAGATGTGAGAAATAAG